GCCTCCGCTAAGACTCGACCTTGAGCACACGGGGCCCGATCCAGCCACACACTTAAGACCCGGTCGGCCTTGAATGGAGTGGGGATGGTACTCGGTTCTCTTCCTGCGACAGGAAGGACGGACCCAGCCTTCTACACGTATTCGAGAGTCAACCGCGAAATGATGGGCACATCATTCATTCCCCAGTAAACGCCTCAGAGGTCCGCGGCTGTAGATCCGCTCGCCCGCCGCCCTCGTTGGCCGACGGTCCCCATGGACGGCTCGGCTGCCGTGGTCCTTGCCCCTGAATAGCTCGCAACTTTTTCCGCGCAAAGGAGCATCGACTAAACCAGCATTTGACTAAGCGCCTGGCCCTGATCCTCAAGCCCGGCGGCCAGGTTCGAGTGAACGTCCCCTTCCTTCCTCCCCAGGAAGACCCGGAGGGGCCTCCTGTTGCAGACACCCTCCTCGCACAGCCACGCCGCGAGAGACAGCCGCTCCCGGGGTCCGAGAAACGCCGGACACGTCTCCGTCCATTCTTTCCCCGGCGCCGCTCACCCTCCCCAGACCCGGGCAGCCCGAACAGCCCCCCAGATCCCGTGGGATCCCCCCCTCCGCTTCGTGCCGCGCATCACAGCCCCGGAGGCGAATACCTGGCGGGACGGAGCGCAGCAGCGACCCTTCGTGCGCTTCCCGGGCCTGGGCAGGCGAAGAGCGGGGGAGGAAGGAGACTTACGCATCTGGGAGCTTCTCCCGCAAGAGCTGCTGCGGCCGGTGGTCCGGGCGGTCCGGGTGACTGCAACTCGGGGCCCCAGAGAAACTGGTGGAGGGCAAGGAGTCCTCCCCTGGCCCGGGGCCTCCCCAACCCGCCTTTCCCCCGGGCGGTTTTCACCGCCGGGCTCCCTTCCCCTCGCCAAAGAAGGGACTTCGCCGGCGGCACTTCGGCCAGTGCCCCATGAAAGGGACTGCGGGCTTTTCTTCCTCGGCTCTCCTCTCCCCCTCTTCCGCTGCTTTCCCTTCTCACCCCCGTGACATAATGGGGGGGGGGAAGGAGAGGGTTTTGCGGTTTGGAGAGACGAATAAAGCATTTATTTTTGGTGGGGGGGGGAGAGAGGACGGCGATCTGGCTTTGAACTTGGATCAGCTCCTGTTTCCTGCAGGGAGAGGAGAAACTGGAAGTTTTGAAAGAAAAGCAAAGAGTCCAGGGACGGCGGGGGCTCTGGCTGGAATGAGCGCAATTTACACGCCACCAAAAAAAAAAAGTGTTCCTGATGCCCGAGAGCCCAGTAGGCAGCAGGAGAGAGAAAGAAAGAAAGAAAGAAAGAAAGAAAGAAAGAAAGAAAGAAAGAAAGAAAGAAAGAAAGAAAGAAAGAAAGAAAGAAAGAAAGAAAGAAAAATATGGGTTAACTGTATGACTGTATTTATAATAACTCCCTTAGGCAAAGAACTATAGCGTGTATATATCTTGCGTCTCTCTCCACCCCCCGACTTTCTCGAAAAACAGGAGAAATAGGGCTTCTGTCCTGGCCACAATTCCTTGAAAACCATGTCCACCGAAAGCGATAGCGATGGATTTATTTCCAAGGCGAGTTGCCTTGGACCGCGGTCTCCAGAAACTCTAGGGAGGGCTGCTCTGGAGTTTCCGACCGTGTCACCTCTCCCAACGCCCGAGAGGTGCCCAGCCAAGCTGGATAAACGGGGCTCCCCTCCCCCAGCTCTCCTTTCCGTGGGCTTCGTTCAAGCCCTTCTTTCGGGAAAGGGTTTTTTTAGCCTGACCAAGAGAAACTGATGGTTGCCCTAGTCAGCTACGCCGGCCGGGTCAAGGGAAGGGCACGGGCACCCCCCCGCCCCGCCCAGCAAGCTGGCAAGAGAAGCGGAGGGCGCTGGCCAGAAGAAAGGAAGAGACTGGGGCGGGGTGTGTGTGTCCAATCCTGGACAAGGAGCTGCGAGGTGCATCAGTTCTTGCGAAAGTGAAGGTTCATTTTTGTCTTGAAAATCGGTCGGGCTCTGAACTGGAAAAGAGACCCGCTGTCTGATGTACCACTACCTTAAATGTGTATCGGCGAAGATAGATTAGATAGATAGATAGATAGATAGATAGATAGATAGATAGATAGATAGATAGATAGATAGATAGATAGATAGATAGATGATAGATAGATAGATGATAGATAGATAGATATAGATAGATATAGATAGATAGATATAGATAGATATAGATAGACAGACAGACAGACAGACAGACAGACAGACAGGAGTTCGCAGTGATTCCATCAGTTCTTATATTTGTACTATCAAAGATTACACTTGTAACAAAAAGTGTAATGAAATTAGTCAATGGAAAAATCCTTGCTAATGATTGTATCTGACCATTCTAGGTTTGTATCATGTACGTAGGTATGATGTATTCCTTCCTTCCTTTTCTGACCAGATACAAAATAGGCTCCAGAGGAAACAATTAAGAATAGGGCTGTGTGCGCATGTTTATAAAGAATACGGTTCTCTGGCAGACCAGACCAAACAATTCAGACAAAAGGGTCTCACATTCTCCTTTTCCGGTCTCATCTCTCAGCTAATTATAATGATTATTTGGATGATATTGCATTTTTTTAGAAGATGGGAATCAGTCGATGGGTTGGTTAGTTCCTGGTGAACGTGTGCCTAAAGGATTATTTTTAGCCCCTCCAAAACCAGCTCATTCAGGGAAGGTCATGGACAGGCGTGGGAAGCCTGCGTTTTCAATTCTCCAGGAATCTTGGGATCGAGATCTGCAGATCTCAGGACACCAGGACTGGCGATGTGATTCGCACGCATTCTCTTTCTCTCGCACGCATGGAGGCACCGCTGAAACCTTCCAGTAACCGCTTAAAAAAAAACACCGCCCCACAAACCTTCCCCATTATGCAGCTAGATCTCTCTCCCCCCCCCGCCGACCACCCCCCACCGGCCTCCTCTTTTCTTTTCCACGAGCCAGAGACATCTCCATTGACACCCGTGTCAGCCTTCCAGGGCATCACATATCCTGTGGGTTTCAAGCCGGGGATGGTGACAAAACCCCGTCGGTTTCCGAGGCGGGCTGCGCCTTCGCCCGCCACTCTCTTCCCCCTGCGGTTGTTTATTTGCCTGGATTCC